TATATATAGTTCATTCATTTCATACAAATGGATGGTGTTTTTTTTTTTAATAATTAAAAGTAATTTATGCTACGAATCCGAGAACACACAAAGGTGTCCGCACATGGTGCTCTATTTGGATCTAAATATATTTAGTCATTATTTAATTTTGTCAATTTCAAGTGTCATATTGTTATATATATATATACCAAATTTTAAAAAATACGTATTTCTATGAAAATAATAATAATTTTATAAGTATAACTTTTTTCATCTCTAATTAAATTCAACTCAACTAATTTTGAAATTCATATACTCGTATTTTTTATCATGTTGTTATAGGAAAAAAAGTTTTAAAATCATTTTAAACAACTTACATAAAACATTAATTTCGGTTCAGTCTCTGTTGAGTTCGGTAGTAATGATGACAGATATTTTTGGCAAATATATATGCGTCTTTTCTTAATGCATCTATAAATATTTCTGGATTTTAATAAATAATTTGGGTTCTTTTGTCTTTAATAACCAAAAAGTAGGGTTTAGTTAGTTGGTGATAAATTGTTTGTATACTTTAAGAGAGATAAATATGTATTGTTTTAATTTAATTTTAAAAAAATTGTTGTTTAGGCACGTTTATTTTAGTGTTATTTTTTTTTCATTTGATAAATACTAGTTATTATATGAATATATTCAAATATAACATAATTAAAATATTAAAAGAACTTCAAAGCTAGGAATTGTTTATTGTATTTTTTTTTTAATTTCTTATTACTACAAAGTATTCATTGACTTTATAAATAAATAAATCTTTGTCAAAAAAATCTGTTGATAATCATTAGTGAGTCTCTTCTTTCAATTAAATTGTTTTATATACAAGATTTGAATTTAAAATTTTATTTAAGGAAATCGAGCCCAATACACTCGAATTAACGATATGTTAGTTGTCTATCTATTCAAATAGTCGTATAATATAAAAGTATTAAATATATTTTATTAATATTTTTAGTTAGTTGTAAAATAAAGCTTTGATTTCCTTAATTGTGCTTTTGACATAATAATTTTTTTCTTTTGTACTTCATTTTAATTTTTATCTTCTTATTCTGTACACATAAGTAAACAATAGAGTATCTCATTTAATTTTAAAATAAAAAGGAATAATATAATATTAGAGGGAGATGGAAGAAAAATAAAAAAAGAGACATGTTTTATATATCAACTTTTATCTCATTTGATTAATAAAAATAGAGTGAAATGAAGGGAAAATGAGGAAGCTAAAATCCTTGCTTCCTTATCTTTGTCTCCATGAAGAGATTTAGACGAGAGACAGAATACAATGATTCTTTAACCCAAAAAACAATTATAATGTTTAGACTATTTAAAATAAATCATCTTAAATATTTCACAAATTATTTTATAAGATATAAAAATAGTAATATTTAGATTAAATTATAAGATGATTATTTTATAATATAATTTCACACAATTTTCTAGTTGTTAATGAGATATACATGTTATATACACAATTTTTTTAAAATATTTATTTTGAGGCATAATATATTTTTACAACCGATTTAAAAGTAATTTATATTGTATAGTTGAAGACACAACTTTGTGACTTTTTCCTCTTGAACCGTTACACCGGTTCAAGTAGGTGCCTAAAATTTTGTTTCCATTTCATTTTTGAAAGGAGTGATTTAAGCAGCAAGGAGAAGGATTTGGAGTGAATGGTTTGATTTTGATAGATGGCCAGTGGAGGTAGTGGGTTTGATGCGGATTCCGGTGGGTAACACATTTCATTGTGCATGCCAAGACGATGAAAGGAGAAGGGAACATGGGTTAGGGATTTTTTCTTTTTATTTTTCTTTTAATTCCATTATATATTTAATTGACGTTAAATTTAACCTCACCAAAACCAACATCGATCATAAAATCCACCTAATAACTTCATTTTAATTCAAGTAAAAATACCTTATTTACATTAGTGTTTCCTTTCTTTCCATTAAAATACTTGTTCTCCTTCTCTTTTCAATGCCAAACTCATTCGAAGGAACGAATTAAGCACCATTTACCTTATTTTCTTAAAGTCCAACCGCAGTTTTAAAACAAAACAAAAAAAAATGATAATGGAAACAAACAAGAAAAAAAGATAGTGAGTAATTGATTTCATTTGCTCTACATGATTTATTATGAAAAATGTTATCTATACAATAAATCTTACAACTAGAAAAGAAATGAAGTAAAAAGGTACTATGTCAAATATAACAAAATAATGTTATAAAAGTAGAAATATGAGAGTTTAAATGATATTGGTGTAATTATATTTAATTAAAAATTATTAAATGATATAATAATTAATAAAAAAATCATATTGTATGAATGGTTATACATGAATATCACAACTCATTTATTCCGTTGAAGTTCGTGTAATAAGGTCTGTGAAGGTATCATAAATTTGAGGAATTTTTTACCCAAATATTTTTTTTAAAAAAAATTACAAGATTAACAACCGTGCAAGTTTATTTACCAAGTTAGAACCATTTATTGTGCAAGCTCAGAATTCGGTTCCCGGGGAACCGAATTCTGAGCATCAAAGTGTTATTTTTTTTTTGTTTTTTTAACTCAGAATTCGGTTCCTTGGGAACCGAATTTTGAGTTGGTTATATATATATTTTTTTTTTTTCGTGTTTGTGGGGAAATGTGGGCTGATGTTGGAAGTGGAACGGCCCGTTCTGCTTTCAGAGTTAAGAAGTAACGTTGAAATAGGCCCAAGAAACGGCCCGTTTTAAAACCTGGAACGGGTCGTTCTTATTTTAGAACAGTCTGTTCCAAAATAGAAGTTTACACATTTTTTTGCAAGTGGAACGGCCTTGGAACGGCCCGTTCCAGGAGCTGTTTTAACGAAAGGGAACGTGATTTGGAACGGGCCGTTCTGGTTTTGGAACGGCCCGTTCTGGGTCAGTAAAAACGCAAGTTTTTCTATAAATAGACCCTCTCCCCTTCATTTTTTTCACACGATTTCAGCTTACCTTCTCTCCTTTATTCCTTCCGTCTACCCCTTTTGAATCACTTTCTTAGAATCACGTTCATTTCCTTTAAACCTTTCATAAAATGGCTTATTCAATCTACGTTATTGTTCATTCAGATGGTTCCATTAACCAATGTCCGAATGAAGGAATCACCTTCTCCTCTCCATCTGTAAAATTAGTTCGTATCAACAGAGGAATTACTCTAGAAAGGCTTCAAAGAGTCATTCACAGAAAGCTACATCGACAAGATTCTAAGAGGGTGGTTAGCATACATTTTCGGTACCCTATTAGACTTGGCCTAGGGGTTAGTAACTATACATGTGTTGAGTTGACGGATGATGAAGACGTGGAGGCACTTTTCAATGTTCACGATTCTAATCAACTTCAATCAGGTATTGAATTATATGCTACATTTACTACAGTTGAATCACATGCACCACAAGTTTCACCTTCACGTTTACCTTACGAAATTTATCAAAGTTACCAGTAAACTAACCCATCTGGCCCTTCTTATGATATCCCCTCCAACTACGACATTGAGTCATACACACAGCTTTTAAGTGGTCCAATCATGGACCTTAATCAAATACCTTCTCAGCCATTTGAGCAAGCTAGACCTTCTGCTTCTCAACCCAATGTTGAAACCAACATTGAAGATGATGTTGTTGTTGGTCTCCCAACAGAAAATGTCTTTGATCCTTTTAGCGAGGACGAAGACGAAATTCTCTCTGCACATGAACATGATGATGAAGAAACCCTCCCAATTCCAAATAATCCACCACTACAACCACAACCAGTAGCCATATACAACCCACCTCCACACTTTTTAGAGTTTCCCAATGAAATCCAACAAGACAGTGAGTATAGCCATTTGTTGGAGCGTGATATGGTTGTGTATCCACCTGGAACACTATTTGTTGGCCAACGCTTCCAAACAAAAGAACAAATGCAGGATGCCATAAATAGATTTCACATTGTCAACCATTGCAGTTACAAGGTTAAAAATTCAAGCAGTAGTAGGCTTGTTATGGAATGCGTTCACCACGACTGTGCCTGGAGATGTCGTGGTATATTGCGAACCAGGGAACAACATTGGGAAATCATGATCCTTGAGGGCCCCCACACATGTGTTTCCCCACTTATCTCCCAAGATCATAATAAATTGGGATCACAAATGATTGCTCAAAGCATTGGTGAAATTATTGAGGTTGATCCATCGGCATCCATTTCAACCATCATAGCCCACATCAAGTCCACCATGGGTTATACAATTAGTTACAGAAAGGGATGGTTAGCCAAGCAACATGCCATTGAGAATATCTTTGGAAACTGGGAGGAGTCGTACAACAAATTACCAGGTATGTTGCAAGCAATGCAAATGTATGTTCCAGGTTTTATTTGGAAATTAAATACGCAACCGGCTTACCAAGGTGAATTATTGGACGAGGGGAGTGTTATCTTCAAAAGGTTATTTTGGACCTTTAAACCATGCATTGATGGTTTTGCCTTCTGCAAACCAATTGTACAAGTGGATGGTACCTTTTTATACGGGAGATACAAAGGTACACTATTGGTCGCAGTTGCGCAAGATGGTCGCAACAACATAATTCCTATTGCATTTGCTGTTGTTGAAGGTGAAACTAGCGATGCATGGTTTTTTTTTCTTAAGAACTTGAGGCGGTATGTGACACCGCAAGATAGGTTGTGCCTTATTTCTGATCGTCATGAAGCTATTCGAAGTGCATACTCAAGAAATGGAAGTGGCTGGGCGGAAAACATTTCTGTCCATGTCTTTTGTATTCGACATATTGCACAAAATTTCATACGACGATTCAAAAATGCAGCACTAAAGAAGGATGTCGTCAATATGGGTAAGTTTATCATTACTTTTTTAAAAGCACTTGATTATTACTTTTAATTATTTAATATTTTTTTTTTGCAGCCTATGGAATGACTGAACCTAGATTCTTTTACTATTACAACATAGTAAGAGATACTAATGTTGAAGCAGCTCAATGGTTAAACAACATTCCTAGGGAAAAATGGACACTAGCATGGGACAATGGACGACGTTGGGGACACATGACAACAAACCTAGCTGAGTCAATTAATTCCGTATTGAAGAAAACACGAAATTTGCCAATTTGTTCCATGGTAATGGCCACATACACTCGTTGCAACAAGTTTTTCGTTCAAAGAGGTACGGAAGTGGGCGCAATGATTAATGCAGGACATGTCTACTCGGAAATTGCAAATAAAACTATTCAAGATGCACAGTCTAAGGCAAATACTCATAGAGTTATCAGCTTTGACAGATCAAGAAGTAGATTTCTAGTGGAAGAAACGGAACATTCCAGAGAAGTTCGACCAGCTAGGAGATTTGCAGTAAGGCTTGATGAATTGTGGTGCGATTGTGGCAAGTTCCAGAAAGTTCATATCCCTTGCTCACATGTACTTGCTTCATGCTTACATGCACATCATGATTATGAAAGGCACATATCTCCGATATATACCTTACAACAAGTTGCAAAGGTATACGAAGGACAGTTTGGAGAGCTTCGACATGAAGATTATTGGCCTACTTACACTGGTCCAACTTTGTGGCCAAATCTCTATATGCTTGCATCGGTATTGCTGTTTACAATACTCCATATGGCGCCCATAAAAACTACAAAAAAAATTAAACTTCTTTAGTTAACATATTATGCTAAACAAAAGAAAATAAAAAAAAATAATAAAACTTTGATTTTAAAGAGTTACCTGATCATTCTGAATGTGATCAAACCTTGATCTATATCCAACAACATCATTATGAGGTACATTTTGAAAGTTTAAAACTCTGCCCCCGCTCCATTTACAGACTAGAGGAAATGTTGCTAGTAACCTGGAAATAGGCGCAATATATATGGCATGTGATGCCATGCCCAAGACTGTAACAGAGATGCACAACCACCCATTGTTTTGCTACTAACATTTGTAGCTCTACACATTTCCTTATATAACATAGCTAAACAAGTCGACCCCCAACTATATCATCTTGTTCTTCTAAGATTTATTAATAAAGATAAATACATAAGATGTACCTTATTGCCTGTTTTGTCAGGCATCAAAACACCTCCTATTAAACCTAATATATATGATCTACAATGTGCATCAAGTTGTTCTTAAGATGGCTCCTCTGGTAATTCTAACATATTTTCTCTTAACCACTTTAACTTAATCATAGAGCCAATTAGTGACTCACCTTTAACTGGCATGATTCCGAGATAGGTGGAGCACATTTCCTCCCAGTCATATAATGTTGGGCCAATGACTGGTAAACCATCAACTCTTAAGCCAAGTTGAAGTGCAACATCCTCCAGTGTTATGGTGCACTCTCCAGTTGGAAAATGGAATGTATGAGTCTCAGGTCTCCATCTTTCAACCAAAGCTGTGATTAATGCGTGATCCACTTTCAGATGTCTGAGCTTTGCAACCCCAGAAAAACCCACTTCCTCTAGTATAGGAACAATTAGAGGGTGAGGTTCTGGCATTGAATGACAGTAAGAACAAATAATATTCTCAGTCTCCTGCAATAATAACCAAAATTAGTACTAATTTGTTACAAGTTCATTGAAATTTAAAGTAAATAACGAAAGTGCTAAACTTACCGTTCTACCAATGAAAGCAGACCTATGCTCATTTTGCTTCCACAACAACATTTTTGATATTTGGTTAATCAAAATTGAACCAAAAAAAGAATTTCTTATTATCAAGGTGAATCAGAAGCAGTACAAGAAAGGAGTAAAGGAGACAAACTTAGCTGAAATCGCATAAAAAAATGAAGGGGAGAGGGCCTATTTATAGAAAAACTTGCGTTTTTACTGTTTACCCAGAACGGGCCGTTCCAAAACCAGAACGGCCCGTTCCAAATCACATTCCCTTTCGTTAAAACAGCTCCTGGAATGGGCCATTCCAAGGCCGTTCCACTTGCAAAAAAATGTGTAAATTTCTATTTTGGAACGAGTTGTGCTAAAACAAGAATGGCCCGTTCCAGGTTTTAAAACGAGTCGTTTCTTGGATCTATTTCAACGTTAATTCTTAACTCTGGAACGGCCCGTTCTGCTTTCGGAACGGGCCGTTCCACTTCCAACATCAGCTCACATTTCCCCACAAACACGGAAGAAAAAAATATAAAACCAACTCAGAATTCGGTTCCCGGGAAACCGAATTCTGAGTTGAAAAAACAAAAAAAATAACACTTTGATGCTCAGAATTCGGTTCCCCGGGGACCGAATTCTGAGCTTGCTCAGTAAATGGTTCTAGCTTGGTAAATAAACTTGCACAGTTGTTAATCTTGTAATTTTTTTTATAAAAAATAATATTTGGGTAAAAAATTCTAAATTTGAGCACACACGCTCTCAAATTATTGCTTCTCCAGAACAATAGTTTATTGGCATGACGTCAACATTAAATAAGCTAATTAAGTTAATATTTGAATAATCTATGACCAGGTTTGAGGAGAATAAATCAATAAATTAAAGCAAAGATGGGAAGCCAACGAAGTGACAGAAAATAGTTTCCTAGTGATGATGACTTCCCCTTTCTTCCAGAATCCAGATTGGGACAGGTCGCAGCACGACCCTTCAGAAATTTTGTTCGATTCGAGTTCAAGCAATGTTGTTCTTGATCCTATCCACGACTCTCTTTCCTTCGACATGGTTGACTTCTCCACGCCGCCAACACAAGGAAACCACAACGAGTCAAAGCAATTTGATGTGGTGAATTCTGAAGCGCAGAATAAGGAAAGGTCGTACATAGGAGTGAGGAAAAGGCCTTGGGGAAAATTTGCAGCAGAGATCAGAGACACAACAAGGAATGGTGCAAGGGTTTGGCTTGGAACCTTTGACACTGCAGAGGCTGCTGCGTTGGCTTATGACCAAGCTGCATTTTCCATGAGAGGCCATAGTGCTGTACTCAACTTTCCTGTGGAAAGGGTCAAAGAGTCTTTGCAAGGGATCCATTATAATGGGTCTTCTCCTGCACTTGCACTCAAGGAGAGGCACTGCATCCAACGAAAATTGTCATCAAAAGGTAGAAAGTGTAAAGGGACCGAGACATCAACATCGAGTGTGGTGGTGCTAGAGGACTTGGGAGTTGACTATCTAGAGCAACTTCTAACCATATCTGATCAAAGTGCAACCCGTAGCTACTTCAACTAAACCTGGTTCACTGTTTTTCTTCTTTTCATTTCTTTTTCCATCTTGTGTATGGCTTTCTTACAACATCAATTTCCAGCTAGGGCGATGTGGGTATTGTCGTCTCTTTAATCAGTGTTGCACCATTGTGTTCTTTGATATCGATCTCCAATAAGAAAATTCTGAAAATTAATATTAATTTCATCCATTGAAAAAAGACAGATTGTTTGGTACCCTAATAAATTTGTGTTTTGGTATTGTTTTTGAGAGAACTCTATATTTTCCTTTCCTCTTTCGCTCTTTCGTGTGTCAGTGAATCCAAACTCATTCAAAAAAATAAAAAAAATAATACCAAAATTCTTAGATTTTTCTGGGCACTACAGTTACCAGTGGAGATTAGATGTACGAATTTTGCAGCTCTTTAGACATGTACTAGAATCAAACCTGAATTAGTTCTTTCTCCCTGGCGAATAAATGGGGTTTCGTGTTGAAGTGTTCTGAATCCATTATTGCTCCAATATTTGTCTTTCATCCTGCATAGGTTCACTTTCTTCGCAACCTTGAACAGTATCTTCCAAAAAAGTTCTCAAGACGTGTTAAAATGGGTAAAAGTTTATTACATCACTAGCTACCTGTATATTATACAGAAACAATTGTCTTGGCATTTAATTTTTGGTTGGCAAAAGATTTATGAACATGAGTGCATCAGTATTCTAACCTATGTACAAGAGTCGTGTATATACAACAAAATTTACGTGTCCAAGATGTTGCCTAATACAATCTATAGTACTCATACACGAATCTGAAAACAGAAACCAATTACCCTATACCCTTGTCATAAACCCTGTCCAAAATCTAACTTCTAACATGATTTAATTTATTCAGCATCAAAGTTATCTTGGCAAATATACGTGTTGTGTTTCACACGATGAAACCATTTCTCAAGCCTTTCTAAAAGCAAACTCCTAAATAATGGTTCAATATAAATATCTAACATATTGTCTGATATAAAACCATAGAACATCAGAGATACAATTAACTAATTAAAGATTTAGATCAAGGTAGTATAGAGTAATTTACCTACGACTGTGAAGTGTGAACCGTTCTTCGTTTTATATCTCACATCTTTAATTTCTAGTCCCGTTTCTATACATCGTAATTAGTCCCATGGTTTGAAATTGCGCTACAACATAAAGGATTTCCGACTCATGTAACCGCAATTGAGACCTAAATAGTCATAATTTTTTTCACAATATCAAGGATTAAATTATTGCAACTGCAATTTATAACCATGCAGCTCACCTGTGATCAATCCAAGCAAGTGAGGATTTTACAACACAACAACAAGAAAAGCTTTCAGTATATGGGGACGATCATAAGTACAATAGAAAATAGAAGGTAAAAAATACAAAGAAATATGCTTAAATTCATTGAATACATCAAGTGTAACATAGGAGGAAGTCTTGAAGTACTATACGTGAAGAAAGCAAAAATCTTATCGCACAATAAAAATTTCAACTATACATACAAGCTAGAAATACCAAGTGTATCAAATTATACAACACCCTCCAATTTTCCATACATTGTACTTCTAAAAACAAAAAATAACAAAAGTCGAAACTTAAGACAAATTAAAACGTGTGAAGTGTCGATCCATAATTGACAAAGTAGAGCTTTAGAGTGCATATAATGAACAAAACTTGTTTTCATTATTTTTCATATTACTATTTGTGTAAATAGAAGATGGAAACGAACTGATTTTCAGACCAAACAGGTTGTAAAATAAAGTTTCTGAAATAACACTGTGTGTGAGATCTAGCAAAGACACCACATTCAAGTATGCTATTATTAATTAACATATGAAAATCAAATAATAATCGACTAAAAAGCATATCACTGCAATGTGAACCAATTAGATAGAGTTAATTTAAATAAATTTACCATAAGCAGCAGTATTTGTAATTCAATACTTGTACACAGAAAGACAAATAGATCACAACTTGCTGGGATACAAAACTTGCCACCCTATTTGGAAGATGTTCAAGATGCAATGTATTCATATTATCCAGTGCTTATGCTGGTCTCATAATAGATTCTAGGGAAAATAAGAATGAGGTAATAATGGCGTTGAGAACTATATTCATGATTATCACATTTATGATCCATCATTTGCTACTCAATAAATATCGTCAGAAACATTCTAATCACTTAAGCTCATCATTCATTAATATGTAATAACACTAGCTTACTGAATTAAACATGGTCATACAATTAAGATTTTACTCAGAAATGAAAATGTCAGAAATTTGAAGGCATTTTTCAAAAATTAATAGACCACAGAAGAAAATTGAAATTAATAACGTCCAGTTTATACCCCATACTCCTCAAATTACTTATCGTGCATTGCAATAAATTTTAATGTAAGTCTTTAGGATTAAATCAATTATTAGTTCATAATTTATAATGTAACAAAAAAAAGTTCATAATTTATAAGTTACTATTTAAGTGCTGTATATATAGTAAACGCATAAACTAAAAGCAACACAAAAAGATCAATGAAACCCAACAAATGCACTAACCCAAACTGATACCGATTCTCATAATTTGAATCAACAGGACATTACAATTCCCCCAGATATGCAACCAAAAATAATTCCATTTCCAGAAATTAACGACTGTAGAATTAGTTTTCACCCATAAAAATGGAATGAAAGAAATCACACATACCTCTTATCCAACACTGTTTCCGTTGTTGACCATTTTTTCAGAAATATTTTCATTTACACCCAAAAGGGTAGCTGAAACCTAAAAGCAGTGTGAATTCGTAGCATTAATTTGAGGGAAAACAAATTCATGATAATCTGTGGTGAAAAATAGGGTTTAACGGAGGCGGAAGAGAAACAAGAGAGAGGCTTCGTGTCCGAATCCGACAGTGGACAAAAAAGGGCAACGGCAAATGATTGTCTCAGAATAAGTTTTTTTTTTCAATATTTTTTTTTGCAAGTGAATAAGAAATGACTTTAAAGAAGTTAAATTATTTATTCTCTGGTTTAATTTTTTCCCCCATCCATATACAATTTTTTTTTTATATAAATATATACATTTCCTGACTTAAATTCCAATGAAAAAATTCACTCCTTTAACATGATTACTATTTTTGGATATTTTTTTTCCACCGTCACTTTCGGTACAATTCTCTGCCCAACACGTGGGGTTCCACTGCCAAGAAAGTGAAGAGAATCCGACAAAGAAAGGAAATAAAGTGGTAATAATAAAAGACGAAAATTTGATGTTATGCTATTTACTTTTTGTTTGGACTTGCTATATATATATAAGGATAAAAGTATGGGAAATAAAAAGCTCAATATATTTTTGCTATTTAAAAAGTTGGCAACAAAAGGCTATATAATCGTCATCGGCAAAAGATAAACAAAAGCATTTAATAATTTTAAATATTAAAAAATTTGTTTCACATTTAAAATTAAAACATGTAATAGTTAATTTGTGATTATATACTTACTAATCTATTTTTTTTTATAAAAAAAAAGTTAAACTCATTAACCTACAAAAACTCATGCACTATAGTCATATTAATTAGAAGTATGTTTGTAAACTAATTTAATTGGTCTTTCCATTAAATAAGTTATTAACTAAATTTATTGGTCAGATTAATTAGGTTGTTAACTTGGTCAAGTTAATTAGGATTTAAAAATTGGCTGTAGATTAGCTAAGCATGACAAACTCAAACCTTTAATTTCGAAAACATGTGAAAATTATGCCTTGTAAAGTCTAATCCTTCTATGCTTTAGAGGATAATTTTTATGATAAAAGTAATTAATAAATGTATGAGAATTTTAGTTTAATTTTTATGAAATAGTTACTTTTTATCAAAAGTCTCTCAAAGAACCTAAAAATATTTTTTTTATTAAAGACATATATATATATATATATATAAAGTTATTAATGTTTGAGTAATTTTTTTCCTCTAATACAGTTTGTCTAAAAGGTGAATAATTTATTCATTTTACGTTAGTTCAAATCTTATTATATAAAATTTTTAATGTTAATTTATAATAATAATAATAATAATAATAATAAATTACTTCTCTACAAATAATTTATTTCATATATCGTACGAGTACACAAGTTATAAAATATATATATATATATATATATATGATAAAATACAATAATAGTTAATCATTAAAAGTTCAATAATGAAAATTATGATAAACCACCAACTCATAAAATGAATTAGTATGAGTATTTTAGTTTAGTGTTTTGAAATTGTTATTTTTCAGCAAAAGTCTGACAAGAAGCTAAAAATAGATATTCATCAAAATAAACAAACAAATCCAAATATACAGTAAACTTTGAGAAATGTTATAATTAATAAAGCAAGTAATTAATCTGTATATATCACATTTCAATCTTCAACAACTACAACAAATTATTTGAAATGACAGGAAAGGAACTAATTATATAAATAATTTAGAATATAAATTTAATTTGAGTTTAATGAGTATGTGTTGGGGAAGTGTTACTGTTACCATTTACCAACCTTGTGTCAGAAGAAGTTGGTTCTACAACTTTCCCTTCACAAAGTCCACTCACTCTGCATCAAAGAGAAAATCAGAAGATTTTCAGAATCTGTTCAAAGTTTTCAATATGTTAATAGCTAGCTTCTAAATGGCGCGCTTAGACATGTGATATCCAGTAATTAAGTACAATTTCTTCTCTGTTTGTCTACAGCTTAATTTACGATGCGCAGATGTAGCACTCATCATCGTTGATATTTGGATTAAATATACAAAAACTCATCAAAAAACTAGATTTAAATATACCACCATATGTCTAAAGTAAGGCATACGAGTTTCAATTGCTTTGAATAATACAATTGTATAACCAAAAGAAAAGGCACAAATGCATCATTGCAATATAATCAAACTGGTTGAATACCTAAATTATCATGTGCCACTGGTAAGCGTCACAAATTTAAGAGAGCATATTCTATCAAGATTATG